TGCAAAATCTAAGTCAGGCAGTGGTGGTGCACACCTTTACTCCCAGCACTTGGGAAGCAGAGGCAGATGGATCTATGAGTTCAAAGCCAGCTTAGTCTACAGAGCTAGTTCCAGGACAACCAGCACAGTTACACAGAGAAACTCTGTCTCAAACAAACAAACAAACAAACAAACAAACAAATAAGATGTAAAATCTAGCCAGGCCTGGTGGATGGTGGCACACACCTTTAGTCCCAACAAAGGCAGAGGCAAGCAGATCTCTGAGTTTGAGGCCAGCCTGGTTTACATAGTGAGTTCCAGGACAGTCAGAGCTACATAGTGAGACACTGTCTCAAAAAAAAAAAAAAAACACACACACACACACAAAATCTAGCTAAGAATCATTGAACTATGAGAATGAGATAAATACTTTTAAAATGAACGGGGTGACTGAGTGGTTTAGAGCACTTTTCCTGAAGACCCAAGTTTGGTTTCTAGCATCCCACAGGGTGGCTCACAACCATCTGTAATTCCAGTTCCAGGACTTCCAAGGCCCTCTTCTGACCCCATACACACCAGACATACACATGGTTCACAGCCATACATGCATAAAAATATTCATACAGATAAATAAATATCAAGAAATTGTTTAAAAGCATACTATTGATTATTAGGGGGAGAAAAAACAAAATAAATTTAAAATTGACATAAAAAATGGGTTTTCTCTCTGCCATGGTTTGAAGTTTGTGTGCCCACAAAATTTACTTGCTGAAACCTAATCAACAATGTGACAGTATTTGGAGGGGAGGCTTTCAGACATAAGCAGAACATGAAGGTAGCCCTCTTATGAATGACACCAGTACCCTTATAATGGAGATGCCAGGCAACCACTGTGGTAGTCAGAATGAGAAATGCTCCCCATAGGCTCAGGCATTTGAACAGCTGGTTCCAAGTTAGCTGACAGCATTTGGGAAGCTTTAGGAGGTAGGAGGGAGAATGTCACAGGGGATGGACTTTAAGTATGCAGCCTAATCCTACTTCTAGTTTGTTCTCTCTGCTTTGTGCTTGTGTCTGAGACGTGATATGTGATCTCTCAGCTTTTGATCCTGCTGCCATGCCTCCCCACCATGGTGAATGCTTATCTCTCTGGAGCTATAAATCCAAATAAACTCTTCCTTTTGTAAGTTGCTTCTGGCAAAGATGTTTTATCACAGCAACAGAAAGCAAGCTAGGAGAGTAGTCAGTACCAGGAGTGAGGTATGCTGAGGAAGACCTGACCATGTTTTTTTTGTTTTGTTTTGCTTTATTTTTTAGGAAGACGGACAACTTTGAAACGTCGAACTAAAAAAAACAAACAAAAAAAACTAAATTCTATAAACAGCATACTGAGCCATCCTAGTAGGTTCCTAGAAGGCAATGGTGCTGAGAACAAAGTGGAGTGTAGAAGTCTAGCTCAAGAGGTTTCAGACAAATGCAAGGTTTTTAAAAATAATTTGATAAAGAATCTAGCTGCCTTCTGCCCTTATGTTATGAACTTGCATGGGACTAACTTAAAAGACAATAGAATTGATGGGCGATGTCCTTCTGTATAGGTGGGACTACCAGACTAGGAGAATTCTGGGAGGAGGAACTCAGGGAGTAAGTCTCAAGAGGAGAAGCCATATAGCTAGCAGGAAGATAGGACGCCTGGACATTCTCCATGTGGAGAAATACAGATTAACAAAAACGAGTTAATAATTGAGAGAGGTAGCCAATAAGAAGCCTGAGCCACAGACCAAACAGTTTATAATTAATAGAAGTCTCTGTGTGTTTATTTGGAACTAAACAGCTATGGGACCGGGCGGGACAGAAACATGTGGCGCCCAAATGTTTGGCAAGAATTAACACGTAAAACCTGACAAAAGCTTAAAAAGGGATTCTGAAAACAGCATTTTTTGGGGTGGGCTCTGTTTGCTAGAGGCAAACTTTAAGAGAGGCTTCCTGACTCAGTGTTAGTGGCAAAAAACTGCACAGCTCTTTTTTGTTTGTTAGTTTTTGTTTTTGTTTTTGTTTTACAAGATAGGGTTTCTCTGTATTGTTTTGGAGGCTGTCGGACCAGCCTGGCCTCAAACTCACAGAGATCCGCCTGCCTCTACCTCCCGAGTGCTGGGATTCTGCAAAGCTCTTTTAAGAGGCCCTGCTACCAAAACAATTAAACGGTGTTTACTAGCAACCAGCGACACACTTCTTGGTGGTGACATGGACCTAAAAACTCTGCAGAGTTGTAGCAATAATCATGGCTCCCACCAGTGCCTCTGCCATGAAGCTAGACTCTCAGAAAGCCAAGGAATAGGGCGGGGCAAGACGCTGCTTTAATCCCAGTCATGCTGTTTACCAAAGACTCATATGGTCAGAAAAAGATAGAGATATACAGTAAAGACTGATTCCGAGGGGTGGGGGGGGGGGACTCTCAACAGTTTGCAGTGTGTTTAAAAATATACATAGGCTTGGGAGAGAAAAGAAAAAGGATAGAGAAAATTCTAAAAAAAAAAAAAATATATATATATAGAGAGAGAGAGAGAGAGAGAGAGAGTAGCTGGGTATGGTGGCACACGCCTTTATCCCAGCACTCAGGAAACAGAGGCAGGCAGAACTCCGAGTTTGAGGCCAGCCTGGTCTACAGAATGAGTTCCAGGACAGGATCCAAAGCTACAAAGAAACCTTTTTTTGAAAAAAAAATTGTAGTGACTGTCTATGGCTGAGGAGGAGGAAGAATCAAAGAGAAATGGTTAAAGGCACAAGATTATGTTATATGGTAATGAAAATGTTCAAAATTGAGTGTAGTGATATATACACAGACAACTCAGCAAATATTCTAAAAGCCACTGAATTGTACATTTAACAGGTGTACTGCATGATAGGTATGAGCTATGACTCGATAAAGGTGTTAAAAGAACAGGGCTACAGAGCAGAAAATCAAGGTGCAAATGTAGCCCTTCTGTTCCCTAGAAAGTGAACAGGAAGTGAAAGATTTACAGGGACAAGCATGGAGGTACAAACATGAAATTACAACACCAAGAGACTGAGGCAGGAGACTCCCCATGAAACCAAGGTCAGCCTGGGCTATGTGATAAGCTCAATGCCTTTCTGGGCAATAAAGACAGATTGTCACAAAGAAATGAAGGAAGGGAGAGAGGAAGGGATGCAGGGAGGGAGGGGGGAGGGAGACCTCAGAGGAAACTAGAAACTACAGACCAAGGTCCATTATTACTATAACTTGTAAAATTTTGCAATATTTGTATGTCATTTTTATCATGTAGTCCCTTTAACTGACTGTGTATAGTGATACAAAGTAAAGCCTATTAAGTGAAAAGTGCAGGGTACGTCTTTACAAGGAAAGCAAAGATGGTAGAAGGTTAAAAGGCTATAAACTATCCCACAGCCAGGCTTGGTGAGAACACAGACTGACACTTTCGATAAAAAAGGAAAGTTAGGGTGTGGACTTGAACATCAGAGGAGTTTATGCAGCATAATAATAGAAATGCTACTAAAATCTGAGGATAGCCCAAAATCACAGGGCTTGGGACGCTGAGGCAGGAGGATGGAGTTCCAGGTCAGCATGATACTTTAAGACCCTTTCTTCAAAAAGTAATTGAAAATCCTGAAGAGAATGGTTGTCATATATCCCAAATTCCATTTCATCTTTCACTAACCCTGTGGGTTGAATTATTTTTTCCAAAACTAAACACTGAATGAAGTTTTACTCTTAAGAACCTGCAAATACTAAGTCCAATGCTGCATTTTAGAATTCATTTTCTTCAACCATGTAACACTATCAAGAATTTGTACCTCAAATCCTGCTTTCCCTTTGTTCCATGAACCTTTCCTACTTTTTCTTTTAGGCAGTGCTTTCCCAGTCTCTTTTATTTCCCTGAATTCTATCATTCATGTATCCCAAAGTTGTGTCTTCATTCTTCAAACTTTCTCTATGCACCCTCCTGAATAAAAAAGCTTTCCTTTGATGTGACTGCTAGCAATGTCGATGAATTCAGACCCTAGATCTAAGCTCCTGACCTGGTTTGACCCTGAACTTCAGATTTTTCTCATACATCACTTCTTTCACATTTCTGCTAAAATAGTCCATATAGCACTCAAGTGCTCTCCTATAACAGTTTATTTTGTTTGGTTGGTTTATTTTTGGTTTTCAAGACAGGGTTTCTCTGTGTAACAGACCTGGCTTACCTGGAACTTCCTTTGTAGACCAGGCTGGCCTTGAACTCATAGAAATCCTCCTGCCTCTGCCTCCCAAGTGCTGGGATTAAAGGTGTGCCATACCTGGCAATTTGTATTGCTAATAACCAACATATCTCAAAGTAAATCTCTTTACACTGCTTATAACAAAAGCACTCTCCCCATTCGTGATGCCCCAGAGGGAAGTGACTGTCTTTACACACCAGACTCATAGCTGGAGAGAAGTCATGACAGCAGGACCAAGTAAAACAACAGTCTAAACATTCCTAAAAAGTGCACACAATTAAGGATAATATCCAAAAATCTGAACAGAAACAGAAGAAACACCTTCAGCTCATCTGTATAAGATGAGAGTTACAGAGTCAACAGTATAGAGTCAGACTAACACTACTATCTGAGCGTGGGGGGATGGCGCAATAGGAAGAGACTGAGCTTTCCACTGAAATTTCAGGAAATCTTCTCCTGCCCCTGTGTGTTATAGCTGGACACAGTGTGCATACCAGTACTTCCAGGTCTCGGGAAGCTGTGGCAGAGGGATATCAAGTTCAAGACCCATCAAGGCCACAGAGAAAGACTTTGTCTCAATAAGAAAAGAAAATAGTAATGATAATAGCTTCATTATTCCAGAGTGGAGTGTAGCTCATTGGTAAAGCATATGTCTAGGAAATGCAAAGCCATGGATTTGATTCTCTTACCACAATTTGAATGCCTTTTGGCCCCCTCCATGGAAAATCTATAATGGAGCAAGGATTTTCCCCATCTCTCAATATTGCAAATAAAGCAGTTCCTACCTCATTATCATCTGCCAAGGCATTGATTTGCTCCAATTTGTAGGTCCAGTATCTGGCTTCCTCCTCTGGGATATCTACCATAAAAAAAGAACAAATGATATTAACTGGTAATAGGTCAGTCATCAGCAAATAATACTTTATTTAGACAAATGAATATAATTAGAAAGGTGATGTGACAGATGAATTTTAACAGTGACTCAATTGTTTCCATGAACATTACTGACTCTATTTTGGAAAGACAATATAAAAACTACTATTCGTGATTCTGTTTTTGACGATAATGAAACTAAAGCTCTGAGAGGATATATATTCTATCTATGGCTGAGTTCCTCCACAGATAAGCCATGATTCAAACTGATGCTGGTATGATGCCAAAATTACAGTTCATGTAACCATAATACCTTTCACTCAGCAAGACCAAAACACTATAAAGGATTAGAAGAAAAGCTATACCTTGAGATATAAAGATGTTTAAAACTTACATTTTGCCTTCTAAAAATTAAAAATACAGCCAAGAATAGTGGTATGTACTTTTAATTCCAATATTCAAGAAGCTAAAGAGAAAGGATTACTAAATTCAAGGTCAATCTAACTCTATATGGAGTTCCAGGTCAACATAATAAAACCTTGTCTCAAACAAACAAATATATAGGTGTTGGTATATACATACATACATACAATTACCATGTGGGAATATAACCAAAAGGACTAAATGAATCTCAAAGGAATATTTGTACATCAAAGTTTACAACAGCATTTATTCATACCAGCCAAGAGTTAAAATAACCCATGTCCATAAACAGATGAAAAAATAAACAAAATTACTTATATATACACAATGGAATATTATTCATCCTTTAAAAGGAAAGAATTTCAAGATGATTCTTAGCTCAGTGTCAAACAAGGAATAGGGAAGGGCCAGAATGCTGAAACAGGAGGATCACAGTGAGTTTGAAGCCAGCTGGGAACATATAGTAATTTCAAAGTCAACCTGACTACAAAGAAGGCTCTGTCTCAAAATGAAACAAACCTCCAAGACTGCTATTTTTTTGTGTTTTAAGAGTATGAGGTCAAGATTACAGCACACACCTATAACACCAGCACTGAGAACATCTACATGGAAAGATTACAAGGTTTAGGTCAATTTTTGTTAGATAGTTAACTTCTGAGCCAGTCTGAGCTACATTAGCGAGACCTGTCTCAGAAAATATTAAAGTTAAAGATAAAAGAGTTGGATAGGGCATATATATACATTTAGACTGAAAAGGCACATTGGAAATATACACAAAAATGTATTAATACAGATGACTGAATGAGTATAGTCTTATAGCCTACAAGGTCATGAACTGGCTTGGGAAGAAGACTTTATTTTCACTGGTCAGCTTATTAAAGCATTACACAGCTATGTGTCACATAACACATCAGTCAAGAACAAACTGCAAGCTAGGCCATGATGATGGCGAACACCTTCAAACCCAGCACTTGGGAGGCAGAGGCAGGACGGTATCTTCGAGTTCAAGGCCAGCCTGGTCTACAGAGCAAGTTCTAGGACAGGCAGAGATACACGAAGAAAACCTGACTCAGGGAAGAGAGGAAAAAACAACAACAAAAACAAAAAATTCCTGCAAACTGAAAAGGTAGGCATGGTAGCACACACCTGCAATTCTAGTATTTGGAAGCAGAGACAGGAAGATAGTAATTCTTAGTCATCTTGGGGTACATGTGAGATCCTACCTCAAAAACAGGAAGAAGAAAGAAAAGCAGGCTGCAAGCATGATATTGGGCTCCTAAGATTACTATGGAGTTACAAAATGCATTTCACCTCATGTAATACAAGTTCTATACATAAACCTGCTATGTTGTAAAAAGGCATAGCAAATACAATTATATACAGTACCTGATTACAACAGATTGAAAGTACAAATAACAATGTTTCATATGTATGTATCTAAAGGCATGTGCCACCAACACCTGGTCAATTAATCAAATTTTAAGGAACTTTCCTTTTGCATATCTGTATTTTTTTGATCCAATAAAAAGTATTTTTTGTTTTGTTTTTGTTTTTTGTTTCTCGAGACAGGGCTTCTCTGTGGCTTTGGAAGCTGTCCTAGAACTTGCTCTGTAGACCAGGCTGGCCTCGAACTCACAGAGATCCTCCTGCCTCTGCCTCCCGAGTGCTGGGATTAAAGGCATGCACCACCACTGCCCAGCAAAAAGTATTTTTTAACATGATGATATATAATTGAATGAAGAATTTCCAAATGTTTCTGTATTATCAAAGGAAAATTTCTTTTGTTCAAATGTAAAAAAAAACCCTTTCTGACTGTTTTGAAATAATAACTACTTTGAGTTTAGTTATTTTTGAACTAGTGAAGAAAATCATTTGATTTTTGCTTAAATTACTATTATGATGCAGGACATAAACTGAGCCAGGCATGGTGGTACATACGTTTAATCCCAACACTCAGGAAACAGAGAAAGGTGAGTCTCTGTGTTTTAGGCTAACATAAGCTACAAAGTGAGATTCTATCTCAAAAAAAAAAAAAAGAACCAAGCGAAATCATACTAGCTGTGATGGTACAAGCCTATGATTCCAGCATTTGAGAGTCTGATGCATGGTTGTAAACTTGAAGGCAACTAAATAAATAAGTTGAAATTACGAAGAGGCACAATAATAGCAATGTGGACACCATTAATGTAAATGATAAATATTTAAAGAATACTAAAATAATTCAAGTAAAAAGAAGGTAACATGTCTAGTCATGTCCAGGCTTCAGTCTATGTTCTTGGATAGCTATGGATGCAGCCCAACTCATCTGCAAATGACAATGGTAAGTCACAATGTCAAAGTTGTATACCCCTGCCTTAAACCAATTACAAAGGTTAAAAATTGGGAAATACAAAATACTGGCAAAGATGTGCACAGGTAGAACACTCCTCAGACAGTGAGATTATAAAGTATACAACCTTTATACCAAGTAACTCTGCAATAGCTATGAAAAACAGTATTTGTACAAACCTTTGACCCTGAAATTCTACTTTAAGGCATCTATCCTAGACTCATGAGGATCACAAATACACAATATTGTTATTTACAGTAATGTATGACAGCAAAAAAAAAGACATTTTTTAAAAACCTACAAGCCAACTGATAAAGGATTACTGAATAAATACACTTAAGGTGAATGTTCCAATCAGCAAGGCAGATAGATATTAAAGTTCTCCATGGAGATACATACCACTGGGAGGCTGTGGCAGGAGGATTGCTCTGTGTTCAAGGTTAGCCTGGCATTTAGAGTAGTCTCAAAAAACCAAAAACTAGGACTGAAGAGATGGCTCAGAGTTTAGAGCACTGGCTGCTCTTCCAGAGGTTTAATTTCCAGCAACACATGATGGCTCACAATCATCTGTAATGAGATCTGGTGCCGCTTCTGGTGTGCAGGCATATGTGCAGGCAGAATACTATATACATAATAAATAAATCTTCTTTAAAAACCCCAAAACTAAAAAATTAATTAAGTATATTTTCAGTGCTCTCTAATCTTAATAAATCAGAGTGTATATTCATTTCAAGATATTTTTAAAAGAATAAATCTAAAAATTAGAAATTTCATGTCATTTAGTTAACAGTGACAGAAAACTAACAAATTAAAGAGTACACTTCTTTAGTATTTTCTTTTTTTGTTGTTTTGCTTTGTTTTTCGAGACAGAGTTTCACTGTGTAGATTTGGCTGTTCCAGAACTCACACTGTAGATCACAGATCAGGCTGGCCTCGAACTCAAAGATCTGCCTGCCTCTGCTGGGATTAAAGGCTGTGCCACCACTGCTTTGCTATGTCTACTGTTTCATTCTTTAATAGTAGGAGCTCACTGCATGGCCCGATCTAGAGCTTGTTGCATAGACTAGGCTGGCCTTATATTTCTTTTTTTTTAATTTTATTTATTTATTTTATATATATGGTGCTCTATCAACATGTACATCTTTATGCCAGGAAGAAGGCATCAGATCCCACTATACATGTGGTTACTGAGAATTGAACTCAGAACCTCTGGAAGAGCTGTCAGTGCTCTCATGGCTGAGACATCTCTCCAGCCCCCCTGGCCTTATATTTCCAAGGATCCTCCTGACTCGACTTACAGAATGCAGGGAATGGTAGACATGAGGCACCAAGGCCAGGTAATGTGCAGTCTTTAATAAAAACCAACATACTTCATCTTGAGTTAAGTGTGATGGGGCAAAGAATGGATGAATATGTGTGTCTCCAGCTAAGAAGATAAAACAGACATTGACAAAACAACTATCAGACAATCCCAAACAATATTGTAAAAAGGATTAAATCATTTTTAAAATTCCATCACAGTAGACTCACCAAAAGGTAATTCAAATCTTGTATCAAGCAAAATTTTATGAGGAGTTGGGTTTTTAGTTCCACAGATCTCATCATCTTTCATTAATGTCTCTGCCTCCAGGGTAGACCACTCCCCAGGTCCTTCCTAGGAAACAAAGGTCTAAGATTAAAATTTAGACTTTCTTGGCTCTCTTTGTGGTTCAAGAGCCAGGTGTTGTCCTCTGAATCTCCTTCAAGACTTCAGAAGACCGCTCATATCCTGATAATGCAGGAACAAACCATCATCACCACCCGCTCTGTGGATCTGTTCTCCCCTTTGCTGAGATGAGGACTCTAGGAATCAGCTTTCATTGTCCTGGTGAGGACAGACTTTCCAGAGTAAGCATCCATATGAACCAATACTCAGTCTCATGATTCTTAATGACTGTGTCACCAGGTAAATAGAATTGAATAGATTTGTTATGAAAATGAGCTGTTCCTCCGCCTAGAGGAATAGAGACAGTCAGAACTCAAGGAAATATAAACAATGAAGTCAATGTCTTCAACTTCCCACTTCCAGAAAAATTTGTAGTGCATAGTCCAGCTAACAGGAATAGAGTGGCTTCTGTGTAAGTACAGACTCTATATAGTTTGTACCTACAGTGATATCTAAATCAAAACTGGGAAAGTGGACTAAGAATTCAACCTGAAAATAGAGACAATGAAAACACCTGGTAATTCCTTACATTCCAATAGTATTACACACAGAAGTCAGAAACCAGTTGCCTAGAGCGTACCTTAAAGCAAGAAAACCCAAAATAGTATCTAACCAGTTGGCTAAGGTTTAATGGCATTCTTCCTAGGGCAGTGTCTAAGGTGAGGATTTGAGACCACACATACATTACTTAGACCAGACTATCTATCTGACAGGATTAGGAGGTATACTCAGGCATCTCCAAGATCAGTCACAGGGCATAGGAAAGAGTTTGGGTGAGGTTAGAAATGGGGAGAGCACATGTCCTCTAATTAGAAAAGGAACACGTAAGCATGGATAAACATCAGCCCAAGTGGGGCTAAGGTGAAGGTAGGCAAAGGCTGCAGCCATCCTTCCAAACAGGCAATACAACGATTTACCTCATCTGACTGACGAATAGTCTTCAGTGCGATCCACACAGTCCCCACCATCGTGTCCCATATCAGTCCTTTGTTCCACACCTCCACACTTAGGCCCAGGTCAAGACGATTGATCTCACTAGTGGAAAAAAAGAAAGTCCTTTGAGGATAGTCAGATAACATGAAAGAAAATACTATTATTCCCTGTTTTGCTATCCTTGAACACTTTTCACTACTATCTACTTTAGGGAAAATCTAAGTATCCTTAAATGCTGCAAGCACACTTTCCATTCCTAGAAAATTGTAACAGGTATCCAAAGAATAATGTTTCATGGCTGGACATGGTGGTACAAACCCGTAATTCCAGAATTTAGGAGGCTGAGACCAGAGGATTTCAAGTTCAAAGTCAGCCAGTGCTACATAGACTCTAGAAGGGACTGGGGAAGAGGAGGGATATAAAAAGGGGTAAAAGAGGAAAGGAGAAAATGCATTTGTTTTTATATTTTATTGCTATTGTTTAAGACAGGGTTTCCAAAAATACATGATTCAAGTTAAGCTCTAGAGACCTGCTTATTATAAAACATAGTATCTACTGTTAGTAAAAAGTTATTGTGAACTTAATCAAGTGTATCTGTATGTTCAATCTCCCCAGGCTGTATATGTAATAAGTATAGTTTTATCCACTTATTATCCCTCAGCAAAAGTGGGAAAGGAAAGAAGGGAAGGAGATAAGAAAGAAGGAAGGGGCTGGGCAGTGGTGGCCCACGCCTTTAATCCCAGCATTCAGGAGACAGAAGCAGGATGGTCTCTGTGAATTTGAGAATAGATTGGTCTACAGAGTTCCAGGTCAGCCAAGGCTACACACAGAGAAACCCTGTCTCAAAACAAAAGAAAAACAAAAAGCGAAGGTAGGGATGAAGGTACTCAAGGAGAGAGGAAAAGAAGGACACCCTCTGCCCTTTGGAGATGCAGTCATGGCCAGACCAAGGCAGCAGCACGTAACATGAAGCCAAGTGACCCGGGCATTACTTTCAGGTCAGCCTGTATTTCTACCCCTGTGCAGCAACCTTAAGTGTTTGTTAACACTACAACTGTCCTAACTTAAAAGTCTATGGAATACATACAGAGAACTTTCAGGAAGAAAGGTCTTTACAAAACTTATGACCCAGGAAGAAGAAAGGGGTCCTGAGAACACATGAATTTGAGGTAGGGGGAGCTGATCAATAGAGTACTTGTCTAATGTGTGAGGCCCTGGGTTCCGTCTCCAGCAATGAAAAAGTATAAATAAAGCAGTGTCACATACAGTAGAACCCTGACTTGTAGGGGCTATCATAAGAACAACCGTAATGTCAGGGAAGATCAAAAAGACACACGTTAGTGTTAAGATCATTCTCAAAGAAGCTTTGGTTGAAACACAGGGTGATTAGAAGAGAGAGGCAAGAAAGGTCTGTTCAGCCCAATGAAAGTGCATGCAGCGTCTGTAAATCTGTGTGAAATGTCTTTCATTTGTGTCTAAAAAGCAACATTTCTTGGGGATGCATAAATGATAATCCTAAAGCAACTCATAAACTGCACTTCAAGCTACCAGATAAAAAAAGTGGCTCAAAGTCTTTAACAGCTTGACATGGACTATAAAGAAGAGAATCTGTTATTTCTCTTTTATGAGGAGCTTTCCTCTCATGCATGTATGCTCAAAACACACAACCAAGAAGTCAGAACTCTACACTTACCCCAGAGCCCAGAGGAAATTTCTTTTCCTTGTTAGTTAACACAATTAAGGGTATGCAAGCTCAAATATACACAAGATTCTGAACCAGGAACACTCACACCAGTAAATAAAGATGCCCTCTTTAAACAGTGAACAATCTGAGGGCAGAAGCATATAGCTCAGTGTTGAACTGCTTACATAGAATGCATAAAGTCCTGGGTTTGATCCTCAAATAATAATAAAAATGAAAAATTATAAGTGAACAATCTAGTGCTACAAATAAAATATAGAAATACTAAGTATAAATAACATGAGCTGGGTATGTTGAAGCATGATTATTATTCTAGCACTTAGTGACTGAGGCAGGAGGGTTTCTGCAACTTAGAAGCCATTCTCCTTGTATTGAGTGCCAGATCACCTTATGCTACAATGTCTCAAAAATACACAAACACACACATGTGCACATATATGCACAAGAAGCCAATCATGGGACCTCAGAAAGACTAGAAGTTCGAGGTCATGCTTAGCAATGTAGTGAACTTGAGGCTAACCTGGGCTACATCAGCCTTTGTTGCAAAAGCACAAATAAATAAAATAATAATACAATATAAAAATATTATGATAAATACAAAACCCATACCAGCTAGAGTTACAAAATATATTGAGGAGGGAGAGGCTTTAAAAAGGGGGGAAGGCAGATGAACAATGGAGCTGCTGCTAGCAACCAAAGGACAGAATAGAAGGAATAAGAAGTGAGAGAAAGAAAGAAAATAGCTAATAAAACCTATGTGTAAATGTGAAAAAAGCAAAATTCACACAAGGTCTCAATACAGGAGACGATGAAAATTCACACAAATCACAGTGAGGTTGAAAGAAAATGCTCTGGGCAATGGGAAAATAACTACAAAGGAATGCAGCTAGCTATACTGAGGGACACCACAGAAATCAGAATTTTTCACACAGTAGAAAGTGTTCCTTTTTATTACCTATTTAATTTTTGCATTCCAATTCCAGTTCCCCCTCCTTCTTCTCCTCACACTCTCTCCCCCTTTTCCCACCTCCCATCTGTTCCTCAGAGAGGGTTAAGGCCTCCCCAGGATGTCAACTAAGTCTGTCCCATCACTTCACTGAGGCAGGACCAAGGCACCTACCTGCCATGTCTAGGCTGAGCAAGGTGGCCTCATATACTGCCCAAGCCACACCACTGTCACTTGTATTCAGGGGTCATACATAGTTCAGTCCTATGCCAGTTCGCCAGTTGACAGTGGGGAGTCAGTGATCTCTTACTAACTTGGGTCAGTTGATTCTGTGGGTTTCCCCATCATGGCCTTGACTCCTTTGTTCATATTATCACTCCTCCCTTACTTCAATTGAACTCTAGGAGCTTGTCCCAATGGTTAGTTGTGGATTTCTGCATCTTCTTTCATTTTTCTGGAAGAGGGTTCTAGCTTCTCTGGAATTGTGGGTGATAGGCTGTTTATACTTTGCTTTATGTCTGGTGTTCACTTATGAGTAAGTACATACTATATTTGTCTTTCTGGATCTGGGTTACCTCAGGATGCTTTTTCTAGTTCTTCCATTTGCCTGCAATTTTTGGGATGTCATTGTTTCTTACCGCTGAGTAGTAGTACTCCATTGTATAAATACACCATATTTTCTTTATCCATTCTTCAGTTGAGGGGTATCTAGGTTGTTTCTAAGATCTGGATATTAGGAATAATGCTGCTATGAACATAGTTGAGCAAATGTCCTTGTGGTGCGAATGTGCCTCCTTTAGGTATGTGCCCAAAAGTGGTACTGTTGAGTCTTGAAGTAGACTGATTCCTAATTTCCTGAGAAGTCACCATACTGATTTCCACAGTAGCTGTACGAATTTGCACTCCCACAAGCAATGGAGGAGTGTTCCCCTTACTCCACACATCCTCTCCAGCATAAGCTATCATTGGTGTTTTTGATCTTAGCCATTCTGATCAGTGTGGAATCTCAGAATAGTTTTGATTTGCATTTCCCTGATGACTTCGGATGTTGAGCATTTCCTTAAGTGTCTTTCTATCATTTGAGATTGTTCTGTTAAGAATTCTGTTTAGATCTGTATCCCATTTTTTTAAAGATTTATTTATTTATTATGTATACAGTATTCTGCCTACATGCATGCCTGCATGCCAGAAGAGGGTGCCAGATCTCATTACAGATGGTTGTGAGCCACCATGTAGTTGCTGGGAATTAAACTCAGAACCTCTGGAAGAGAAATCAGTGTTTTTAACCTCTGAGCCATCTCTCCATCCCCAGTGTATCCCACTTTTTAATTTATTTGGTAGTTTGATGTCTAGTTTCTTGAGTTCTTTGTATATTTTGGAGATCAGCCCTCTGTTAGATGTGGGATTGGTAAAGATCTTTTTCCATTCTGTAGGCAGTCATTTTGTTTTGTTGACCGTGTGCTTTGCTTTACAGAAGCTTCTCAGTTTCCGGAGATCCCATTTATTAATTGTTGCTCTGAGTGCCTGTGTTATTGGTGCTATATTTAGGAAGTGGTCTCCTGTACCACGGTGGGAAGAGTTCTAATGAAGGGATTGTTATAGGACTCAAGTCAGGTAAGAACAGGAAGGCTAGACTGACATACTATACTGTGGTACAGCTACTGTGAGAAGAGGCTTGTATAAGGCATAATAATGACTCTGCACATTACTTATGTAAAAAGGGAATAGTAATTGCATTCCTGTCAATACCACCCTTGGAGGGCAAATATAAGGCATATCATCTTGCTTATTAAAACAGGAGAATTATAAGGAGAGAATCTTCATCTTCTAAAGGCACAGCTGCATAGACCTTGGGTGGCCACACCTTGTGAAAGCCATATAACTGAACTAGGTCACAGAAAATGTAGTAACAGTAAAAGGCTCCCAAACACATGATGCCCAAACACTAACTCAAAATCAAAGGTTCAATGTAATGAGTCCGAGGTGTCTCCAGTAGTGCTTGCCAGTGCTCACATTTTATCTCATTGCAGCTTTGTACTACTGTTCATGCCAATGAACCACACAATGAATGCTAAAGGATGTGACCTGAAACATCTTGCCTCAGATTCAAGACTACTGTTTGCTATGGATTGTACTCTTTTACTATACTACACATAGGAAGATTTTTCTCATAATGGTTTAATCATGTCATCCCTCTGAATAGAAAAATGTAAGTTTATCTTCCGACTATGTCATGCTAACAAGTCTCATCTTGAGGACAACTGTTTCTTAAGAGTTTCATATAAAGTAAATAGGCACATCCATCTTATTTGTATACAGCCTGCTTTCGTCTTTAACTACAAAGAACTGCTTAAAAGTAAAATTTTATTTTACTTTAAAATGCTTTTATTTTTTTCAGTTCCAAAACTTGTACCTAGAATTTTACCACTGAGCTACATACATCCCTAGTCCAAAAGAAAATCCTTTTATGTGGGAGATGGGATGCTGGGGATGGAACCTCAGGTCCCCAACATGCTAAGCAAGTACTTTACCAACTGAGCCACATCCCCACCCTAAAAGCTAAATTTATTCATTATTGAAAATGTTTGGTCTATAAACCTGTATACCTAGAGTTAATTAAAACATTTTCCAGGGGGAAAATATGTCAAGAGTAGAAAAGGTCAGAGAAGCTGGACTCTAAAGAAATTATTTAGGAGTCAGAAAGTGGTAATTACAGCACTCAAGAGGCAGAGGCAGGTGGATCTCTGAATTTGAGGCCAGACTGGTCCACAAAGAAAGTTCCAGGACAGCCAGGGCTGTTATATAGAGAAATCTGTCTTGAAAAACCAAAAGAAAAAGGAATGACACAGGTATACACACAGCCTCGAAAGCATGTGACCATATCCTTAGAGAGACTCTGAGAACCATGACAAAGTTACATTTGACATTATGCTAAGTATACTTACTTTACAGCATCTGAATTCTGACCAGTAAGAAAGTATGAGCAGGGTTCTCTAAGTTACTTATATTCATTGTTCATCTCCAAGAATAAACTACAAATCAATAAGAGAAAAAAACTGCAATGTACCTTGCCTACTACCTACTACCACAAGCCTCACTTGCTCCTGTACCTCTACAGATTCAAAAAGAATTACATAGTACTGTTGGCACATTAATATGTCACTGGCACACACAGACTCCTAATGCTTCATCTGCTATCACTGACTTACGGGATGCACAGACAAACACTTTGGCATAGTGCTTACAACATGAAATCTTGCTCCCAGGAAGGTTGATCACCACGAACTGCTACAGTTGTGCTCTTCACGTTCTGGACTTTCAGGGTCACATATGTGTTAAATTTATCTTTGAAAAATTAAAAAAACAGAGATGTTAATGGTATTCAGAATACTACCCAATTTCACAAAGCTCTTAAGTAATCAGAGGACTGAGGGAGATACCCAGTGTTGTCCTCTGGCCTGGGCACACGCAGGTGAATACATGCTCTTACACATAGGCAGACACATACAAAATAATGTGGCTGTATACCAGCATGCTAAATTTATAATTGTACTAAAGATATGTGATGATAAAATCCAGCACCTATAATGGGACCCTCACCCACATCCAGAAGTAGGAATGCAGTAGACCACAGAGCTGTGATTTGGTGTTTGTTTTTTATATATTTTCTTGTTTGAGATTAAAACCAGAGTCTCATACATGCTAGCCAAGACCTTCAGCACCCAGCTATACTTCTAACCCCTGAACTACATTTTGTATCACAAGATCTTAAACTTGAGCTGGAGAAAGGGCTAAGTGGAAAGCATCTTCATACTATGTAGGCTCCAAGGTTTAATCCTCAATACTAGAAAACACAATTTAAGTCTTTTTCCAGGCTGGGTAGTACACACCTATAATCCTAGCAGTTGGAAGCTAGAGATGGGAGAACCCCAGGGCCTTGCTGACCACCCAACCCAACCAACTGGGGAGCTCCAGGTTCACTGAGGGAACTCTGTCTCAAAAACTAAAGGGGAAAGCAACTGAGGAAGAGATCCAAGGTCACATGACCTCCAAGCACACACATGCATAGGCACGTACAGCTATGCACATATATGTATGCTACTAATAATCTTTTCCTTTTTTCTTTTCTTTTCTTTTTTTTTTTTTTTGAGACAGGGTTTCTCTGTATTGTTTTGGAGGCTGCTCTGTAGACCAGGCTGGCCTCGAACTCACATAGATCCAACTGCCTCTGCCTCCCGAGTGCTGGGATTAAAGGAGTGCGCCACCAACGCCCGGCTTCTTTTCTTTTCTTTTCTTTTAAAAACAGGGACTCTTTGTAGTTCTGGCTGTCCTGAAACTAAATATATAGACCAGGCTGCCCTTGAACTCAGATTCTCCTGCCTCTGCCTCCAAGTGCTGGGATTAAAGATATGTGCCACCACACCAGCCCAGTTAATTTTTCTAAGTGCATATAATATTTGGTGCCAATAAAATATTTCACCCAAGGATGGTGACTCATGTTTGCAATTGCACTTAGGAGACTAAGATACAATTATTGAAAAATAAAATCCATCCTAGGCCACATGGTAACTTTCAGATTAACCTAGACTACAGAGTGGTACCCTGTTTAAAAAAAAAAAGAAAAAGAAAAAAATAAAGGGGGGTTGATAAATTACTTGCCTAGGATGTGTAAGTCCCTGGGTTTGATTTCCCAGTACCACATACCTGGAATGGTGGCATACATCTACAACCCCAGCAGTAGGGGGGGGGGGGGGCAAGGTGATCGGAAGTTCAAAGTGATCCTCAGCTATGTACCAACTTCAAAGCCACCCTGGACTACATGAGACATATCTCTAAAGAGTTTTTGAAATTAAAAGCAAATTTAAAGGTCAGCAAGAAGACTTGGTAGGTTAAGCATGCCTGCTACCTAGACTGACAAGCTCAATCTTGAATTTGATTCCTAGAACCCACATGGGGAAGAAATGACTTCCAAAAGTTATCCTCTAACCTCCACACACATGCTGTGACATGAGCATGTATGGGCATAAACACAGAAAAAATAAAATTAAATTAATAAAATTGAAAATGTTAAGCTTCCAGGGCTGGGAGTACAGCTCTGTAGTAGAGGGTGTGCTTACACAAATAAAATACAGGAAAGCAATTGCCAATGCCAAAACATCATTTTTCCACTAAAAATTTTTAATTAAGAACTGTTTTCAGGGCCTGGAGAGACGTCTCAGTGGTTAAGAGCACTGGCTGCTCTTCCAGAGGTCCTGAGTTCAATTACCACATAATGGCTCACAACCATCTGTAATGAGATCTGATGCCCTCTTTTAGCATAAAGTTGATAGAGCACTCGCATATATAAGATAAATAAATCTTAAAACATTTTAAAGCAATATCAAATACCTTAAGAATACACAGGTGTGTTTTAAAAAAAAGAATATATAGTTGTGACCCAGTGACTGTATTTTCAGACTCTAGCATAGAGATATATTTAAAAATTGGGTAATCATAAATACACAAAACACTCATTGTTTATGACAGTAAAGCAGCATAAACATTCATCCATAGAGAACTTGGGTACAAATCTACAGCAGAATCTATATAGCACTTTAAAAGAAAATGCCTGCTATACACAAATGCAAAAGGATTTTCATGATGTATCACTGAGACAATTAAGCAAGCTTCACACAGAGGTGTGTGTGATTCATTCATGTTTACAAGAATACATATAAAAGAGATCTGGAAAGGTATACATAAAAACTTTTAAATAATTGCTATAGAGAAGTACAACTGGGTTGGCAAGAGAGAAAAGGATAAACTTTTAATAGAGAAAAATACAGATAAACAAAGTTAAATGTTTTACAGCAATGGATTCATAATTTTATGAGTTAACTTAGTGAATTAAATAAACGAACTTATTTAAGTAGTAAACTAAATGAAATCGTTGTTGTTGTTTTCTGAGACAGTCTCTTTATGTAGGGCAGGCTGACCTGGACATGCAATCCTGTTGCACCAGCCTCCCAAGTACAAGGATTATAGAAATGTGCCACTATTTCCAGCTTATAATTAATAATTCTTTTTTTAAAAGATTTTTTATTCATATGTATACAGTGTTCTGTCTGCATGTATGCCCACGGGCCAGAAGAGGGCACCAGATCTCATTACAGATGGTTGTGAGCCACCATGTGGTTGCTGGGAATCGAACTCAGAACCTCTGGAAGAGCAGTCAGTGCTCTTAACCTCTGAGCCATCTCTCCAGCCCCTAATGATTCTTTTTTAAGATTGCTTTTGAGGGGCCAGTGAGATGGCTCAGCAGGGAGAGGTGCCTGATATGAGGCCTGAACACCTAATTTCATTCTCTGGAAACCAATGGTAGAAGTAGAGATTCCCAAGATGAATGCAGGTCATCGATGACTTGCATAGCAAGTGTTTTATTCTTGCGCCATCCTGCTGGCCTATGGTTTTTGTTTTTGTTTTTTAAGATTACTCCAAGGGAGACAGAGTGATGGCTCAGGGTTTAAGAGCACTTACTACTCTTACAGAGGACCTAGGTTCGATTCCCAGTGCCCACATGGTAGTTTATAACCACCTGTAATTCCAGTCCCATGGGATATGACACCCTCTTCTGGACTCCTTGGGATTCTGCATGCGTACATGCACACACAAATAAATAATTGTTTAAAGACTGCTTTAAGTCACAGAATGCATGAAAGGTAACAATAATGGAGGGCTAGACTTACCTGGTGAACCCTGGAATTTGGCTCTTTTAACTGCAAAAAACAAAAGAAGAAAAATTAGGAAGTTAAGTCTAATTATTAGGAAAAGAAGCTAAACATCTGATCAAAGACCTTCTCAAAGGAATTCAACCTAATATCATACCCAATGAAAAAAAATCTTCATTCCTACCTCCTGACAAAAGGGGATCAGTTTCATGTTAGATGTCTTTCTAAAGTTTAAGTTATGGGGCTGGAGAGATGGTTCGGAGGTTAAGAGGACTGGCTGCTCTTCCAGAGGTCCTGAGTCCAATTCCCAGAAACCACATGGTGATTCACAACCATCTATAGTAGGATCTGATGCCCTCTACTGGCATAAAGCTGATAGAGCACTCATACACAAAGAATAAATACATCTTTCTTTTAAAATGTGTTTGTTTGTTTGCCTTTTTTTTCCAAAAGGCAACGGGCAGCAGTCCCTACCTGGAAGCATCACAGAGGGAGTACCAAGGCAGCCACAGTGGCCTGGAAGCATTGACATCAGTGGCTTCCAGAAACTATGTCAAGAAAACCCTCTGAGAAAGAGCACCTGTGTCCCAGCCAGCATCCAGCACCATCCACTATAAGGGATACCCCGCTGCATCAGCAACTACCAGCGCCACAGACCTGCCTGCACCAAAGGAGTGATCACCCGAGGCTCTGCCCTACCTGCTCCTGGAGGAGTGACCAATGGAGGAACCGCAGCCACCAACTACATGAGTTGGAGGAAGAGGGAACCCTGAAGCACAGGCCCCACCGGTACAGACTGGAGGAAGATATGGGTAGACAGCAGTGTAAGAACACCCTCGACAACACAGCAACACCAGAAGCTAGTGATCTACAACAGCAAGACCTGAGCATCCCAACGCAGATGAAGCAGAAGAAAAACGACCTTAAAAATAACTTAATGACGATAACTGAGGCTCTTAAAGAAGAAATGAAAAATTCATTTAAAGAAATGGAGGAAAAGACAAATAAAAAATTAGAAGAAATCAACAAATCCCTGAAAGAAAACCAAGAAAAACAATCAAACAAGTGGAGGAAACAGTTCAACCCTTAAAAACTGAAAGGGAGGCAATGAAGAAAACACAAACCTAGGGAATTCTGGAAATGGAAAATCTTGGTAAACAATCAGGAACTACAGATGCAAGCATAACAGAATACAAGAGATGAAAGAGAATCTCAGGCACTGAAGATCCGATACAGGAAACAGATTCATTGGTCAAAGAAAATGTTAAATCCAACAAATTCTTTTTGTTGTTGTTTTTTGTTGTTGTTGTTGTTTTCAAGACAGGGTTTCTCTGTAGCTTTGGAGCCTGTCCTGGAACTCACTCTGCAGACCAGGCCAACTCACAGAGATCCACCTGCCTCCCAAGTGCTGGGATTAAAGGTGTGTGCCACCACCATTTAGTTAAATTCAACACATTAACACAAAATATCCAGGAGAATTACAGACCAATTCCCTCATGAACATAGATGCAAAAATACTCAATAAAATACTGGCAAACCAAGCCAGGTGGTGGTGACACAGTCTTTAATCCCAGCACTTGGGAAGCAGAGGCAGATGGATCTCTGTGAGCTGAAGGCCAGCCTGGTCTACAAAGCTACACAGAGAAACCCTGTCTCAAAAAAATAAAGATAAAAATAAAAAATAAAAAAATACTGGAAAACTGAATCCAAGAACACACCAGAAAAATCATCCACCATGACCAAGTAAGATTCATCCCAGAGATACAGGGATGGTTCAACATATGAAAATCCATCACTGCAATCCACCATATGAACAAACAGAAAGACAAAAAAATACATGATCATCTCACTAGATGATGAAAAAGCCTTCGATAAAATTCAACACCGCTTCATGATTAAGCTCTTGGAGAGAATAGGGATACAAGGAACATACCTAAACATAATAAAGGCAATGTAAAGTAACCCAACAGCCAACATCAAACTAAATGGAGAGAAAACCCAAAGCAATCCCACTGAAATCAGGAATAAATCCACTCTCTCCACATCTATTCAATATTGTACTCAAAGTTCTAGCTAGAATAATAAGACAACAAAAGGAGATCAAGGGTATATAAATCGGATAGGAAGAAGCCAAACTATCACTTTTTGCAGATGATATGACAATATACATAAGAGTCCGGAAAAATCCTACCAGGGAATTCCTACAGCTGATAAAAACCTTCAGTAATGTGGTGGGATGCAAGACTAACTCAAAAAAATCAGTAGCCCCCTATACACTGAAAAACCTCAATACAACCCCCCTTTGAGACTCATAACGTTGCCTCAGTGGAAAATTCCCTAAGGTCCCCTAGACAGGGAACAAGGTCTGACTAAAAAGAACATCTGGTCCAGAGTGCTGATACAGGACACCAGCAGGCTGTTAAGATAAGTTTAATCTTGACCTTGTGGTTTCTCCAGGAAGGATGAGTTATGCCCGCACTTCTTACAATCCCCTATTGCTTGCCCAGATCTGCACCTGCAGTGGCTCCGCTTTTTACAATATACCTATTGCTTTGCTTGTCAAAATTATGTATATAAAAAGAAAACTGTCCTAAAGCCCAGCGTGTTCAGCTAGCTAAGGCTGCTGAATTGCCCACAGACGCCTGTGTAAACAATAAACCTCTTGCGGTTTGCATCCAACTGTCTGGTTATTGAGCTCGGGACATCACCAGGGTATTCAGCCTGAAGCCTGATAACCTCAGGTCTTTCAACACAAATGATAAATTGGCTGAGAAAGAATTAAGAGAAATACCACTCTTTATAATAGCCACAAATATAAAATATTTTGGGGTAACTCTAACCAAACAAGTGAAGGACCTGTATGACAAGAACTTTAAGTCTCTAAAGAAAGAAATTGAAGAAGACAGCAGAAAATGGAAAGATCTCCCATGCTCTTGGAAAGGTAGAATCAACATAATAAAAATGGCTGTCTTACAAACAGCAATCTACAGATTCAATACAATACCCAACAAAATCCCAACACAATTCTTCACAGACCTTGAAAAAACATTACTCAACTTCATATAGAAAAAAAAAAGAATAGCCAAAACAATCATGTACAATAAAGGAACTTCCAGAGGCATCACCATCCCTGACCTCAAGCTCTACTATAGACCTATGTGGATCAATGAGATCAAATTGAAGACCCTGACATTAATCCATTCACATATGAACAACTGTTTTTTGACAGAGAAGCCAAAAAGGTACAACGGAAAAGGGAAACATTTTTAATAAATGGTTCTGACATAACTGGATGTCAACATGTAGATGACTAAAAATATATCCCTATCTATCACCTTGCACAAAACTCAAGTCCAAGTGAATCTAATACCTTCAACATAAAACCAGTTACATTGAACCTGATAGAAGAGAAAGTGGGAAATAGCCTGGAACACATTGGCACAGGAGACCACTTCCTAAATAGAACACTAGTAGCACAGATACTGAGAGCAACAATCAATAAATGGGACCTCCTGAAACTGAAGAGCTTCTGTAAGGCAAAGGATACAGTCAACAAGACAAAGTGACAGCCTACAGAATGGGAAAAGATCTTCACCAAGCCCACAGCTGACAGAGGACTAATCTCCAAAACATATAACGAACTCAAGAAACTAGACAATAAAATACAAATAATCCACTTTTTTTTAAATGGGATGAAGAGCTAAATAGAATTCTCAATAGAATAAACTCAAATGGCAAAAAGACATTTAAGGAATTGCTCAACATCCTTAGTCATCAGAGAAATGCACATAAAACTACTCTGTTAGAATATCTAAGATAAAAAAATGAGGGCAGCTTATGTTGGAGAGGATGTGGAGTCAGGGAACACTCCTCCACTGTTGGTGGGAGTGCAAACTTGTACAGTCATTCTAGAAATCACTATAGTGGTTTCTCAGAAAACTGGGAATCAATCTACCTCAAGACCCAGCAATATCACTCTTGAGCATATACCCAAAGGATACTCAATCTTACCACAAGGACACTTGCTCAACAATATTCACAGTAGTATATTCATTAGAGCCAAAACCTGGAAACAATGTTAATCCCCCTCAACTAAAGAATGGATGAAGAAAATGTGGTACATTTACACAATGGAGTATTACTCGGCTACAAAAAAAAATGATATCATGAAATTTGCAGGCAAATGGATGGAACTAGGAAAAAAAACACCCTTAGTGGGGTAACCCAGACTCAGAAAGAAAAACACAGTATGTACTCACTCATAAGTGGATATTAGATATAAAACAAGGGATAACCAGATGACAAACCACAACTCCAGAGAAGCTAGAGCCTTTTTCCAGTAATTAATGGAACCAAATGCAGAGATCCACAACCAAGCGTAGACCAAACTCCAGGAATCCAGTCAAAGAGAGGGAGGAGGGAATACATGAGCAAGGGAGGTCAAGATCATGATGGAGAAATCTACAGAGACATCTGAACCAGGCTCGTGGAAACTCATGAACTCTGAATGGACAGCTGTGAAGCCTCCAGGGGACTGAACTAGGCCCTCGATATGCAGGAGACAATTGTGAAGCTTGGGTCCCTGGCAGTAGGACCAGGATCTATCCCTGGTGCATGAGATAGCTTGTTAGAGCCTATTCCCTATGAGGGGATGTTATGCTCAGACTTAACGCAGAGGGGAGGGACTTGGTCCTACCCCAACTTAATGTGACAACCTTGGGAGTCCTTACCTGTTGGGAGGAGTGGGTGGAGATGGACTGGGGGGAAGGGGGCGTGAAGAGGGATGGGAGGTAGAACTTTGGCTAAAATGCAAAATGAAATTTAAAAAATAAATAACAGAAACCCTGTCTCAAAAAACAAGAAAAACAAAGAAAGAACAGAGGGAGGGAGGGAGGGAGGGAGGGAGGGAGGGAGGGAGGGAGGGAGGGAGGGAGAGGCAGGAAGAACAGGAGCTCAAAGTTAGCCTCAGCTGCGTGAGACTCTTTCATAAAACCCAAACAGGACCAATCAGACAGCTAAGTGAATAGGTGCTTGGTGTTTGTTTCCAA